GCTGCTATTTTACGCTGGTGTACTGTGAGAGCGTGGTCCTTCCCCGGTCGAGCCAACCCATTTATTCTACAACCATAATATAGCTGAATTGTGGCCCTATAACATGTAAAAGAGCTATGTTTGCATATTTCGTCTTAAATAGTATTAATTTGAACAACCTCAAAAATTACTACTTACACAGACAGATGTAAGTAAATTACCCTGCAGTTTGGGTAAAGTACTTTAAGATGCAATCACAGCCTAAGAAGGATAGTTGATGAGTGTGATACAACCGACTGTATTTTACTGTAATACAATATTTAAAAATAAAACACAATTTATACAAATTCAGGGGAATGTATACTTAATTAAATTAACATATTGTAGCAGTCTCAGAGCTTACATTACTACTTACCAACACATGATAGATATGAGGATGAACTTCGAACCATTTTTATGAGACGTTTCTCTTGGAATTCTAAAAACAACTCGTTTTACAAAATTCCGTGATTCACGTTTGCGTTTAATATTAAGAGGAAATGATAAGAAGACGTACTTAAAAACATGACACGGACAATTTAATTATAATAAACATTCAATATCTTGCGGTGGAATTCCAATAATTATAAACGGATGTTATCACAATGCGAAATGTATCAAATACGGAAAAAATTCGATAGTCTTAATAACATTTTTTCGAGTACCGTTTTAAGTGTTTAATGTGTAATAAGCTGAATACTTCCACGTAGAACAGCATTGAAATAAATAAAATATTTATTTGATATTTAATTACTGCAAACTATTCATGTCAAGTTAATCAAAATGTTACAGAATTACGATCTATTCATGTAGGTGATATAACTGTTCTCAGCAGCGAAATCCTCAATCTATCAGTAATGTCATGATTTAGCAAATTTATAGTACAATAAAAGTTACGGTATTGAATAAAAATAGACTGATGAATAAGTTCTAATGTATTGTGATAAACTGGGCTATGTCGGATACTATAACTTAATAGAAATTAACGATAAAAAAAACACTTTTATTATGTGTTTCTGCTACGAACTTTTAACGATCGTTAATTAAAACTTCGCTCCTAGTAAAAGTGTTTAATAACGACTTTTGAACACACTTTTTGTCTTTGTAATTAAATTTTTGATTACAAAACCAAAAGTTAGTTCCATATCCTCCGTTACTACGTACTTCTACCCAAATTCAAACATAAACTGTATAGAACCACGACGACGTCTATTAACAAAGAGCTTTTAAAAATTTTCAAGTGTAATAGAAATTTAAAAAAAAATCAATGTACAAACACGACCCTCTTCTTTAAATATTTCGATTATATTTATTTCAATATATATTATTTAGTTTATTATCCCCTTAAGAGTATCTTTTAAGATGGCATATCATATCTTATATGTTGCAACCATTGCGGCTGTATTTTACTGCCCGGGAAAAATAATTTACTTAATTCGTGTTTTCTTTAAATATTTGGGTATATTGTAATGGTTTGCACAATAAAATAATAATATTTTTCTCGTCCAAATTTATATATTATTATAAAATTAATGCTCAAAGCGAACTAGTAACATTAATAAAAAAAAGGGGAATTGGACCGCCGCAAAGGATAACATTTACTGTTAAGTAAACATAGCCCGTTTGTGACATTTTACTTAAGCCTTACAATTTAAACACGTTTTAAAATATTTTAAATTAATATAAAGGTTATATAGATATTGGACCTTATTTCTAAAATGTATGCTTTTACTTATGAGGTCCAAGTGTAAATCATTATTTCCGCGAGTCTAAGTGACTTGCTAGCATATTATCATAACACCTTCACCAGTATTTCATACAGCAGTAACTCATAATGTTTATTATCTCGTGCCGGCAGCCGAGGCGTCAAGGATACGTGAATCTCCTCTGCGTCATCATGGTGAACTAACCGCACTTTAATATGGAAATTTCTAAGGAATGCCACATTAATTCTCATTAAGAATATTTCATTTAAATGCAAGGTACCTTATTCGAAGATGTAACGTCAAAATTAGTTAGGCGACATTATGATTTGAATGGCGCCAAAAAGACGTTAGAATTAATGGAATTTATTGTAATATTAAACTAGTTCAGGCAACAGAATTGATTAACAACGTAAATATTTGCCCCGATATCTAATATGAAAATAAAAATCTCGAATATCTGGTTTTCTTTCTTTTTAGAAAATTCAAAACAATCCATTTTGTCTTTATTTTAAATCATAATATACACATTACATTAGATATTCAGACGTAATAACATATATCCTTCAACATAGTATCGTGAAACATTATGTATTTAAATGCAACTGCATATTTAATTGGTAGGTTAAAACAGATTTTATTCATTCGCATTATGTTACTTGGTAGTAAACGGAAAAAATCCGATAAACGATAATCCTAAGCAATATTAACTTTGAGATGTTTTTAATTTCACTAATATTTAAGAAATGAGGTAAAGTACTAACTTAAATATAACTAAAGATTATTTAAAATTTATAACTAAAAACCCCGTGTAGTGGCGGTGTATATCCACCATCCCTTATTGTCCCATAGGAGTCGTAAGAGACGACCGAGGGGAAATTTTTATATGTGGTAGAGTCATGCTGCAGTTATATTAGTTGTAGCACGAATGGGTCGGCTTGACCGAGGAAGGACCACGCTCTCACAGAACACCAGCGTAGAGTAGTAGCTTAATGCTGCTGTGTTTCGTATGGTGAGTGTAGAGAACCGGAGACCCTTTTTACTGCAAACGAGGCATTCCATATTAGTCCTCACGGGTGATAACGCATCTGCATTTTGATTCGTAATCGAGGATAGATTTAGATGTCTATGGGGCACAGCAACAACACATCAGGTGGACTGTGTGCTCTTTTGTCACCCTATCCCCTAAAAGGAACTGAAACAGTAGATGAGCAGCTGCATCTTCCTAATAACAACTCAAAATAATTAAAAATGCGGTTGCCAATACGCCTGCCAAGCATGGCAGCTAAATCTATGGGAGAGGTCTATGTCCAGCAGTGGACTTTTACAGACTGTAAGGGAAGGGAGAGGGATCTAATATTCTCACCAGTTTTTATAAAGGATGTACAAATTATTACTTATTGAGATGAAAAAGTATTACATGGGTATTAAAAAGAGAAATTTATAAAAACATGCCACATTTGTTCATCCAATAATAATTAATATTGTAAAAGCTTACGATGCTACGCCAGTTTCTGCAATATTCAGGACATTGTGATGTATTTTTTCCAAACACTAAAATCATGCACGTGAAATAGCAAGTAAAAAAATGTCTTTATAAATATAGTTGTATTTATAGCCTATATCTATGTTAACCCTGCTCTAGTCCTCCAACGAAATTTGTCACGTACCAGTCTGGACGTAGACTAGCCATTTATATAGCCCCGGATTATGTTGCACAAGGATACGCGAAAGCACAAGTGCACTCTCTATTTCCTCACTCTCATACCTCGGTGGAACGGATATCCGACACGAAAGAAGATATTAGGCGCAGGACTAACGACGCGACTTACGTGCTGTCCGAGTTGGTACTGAATTTCTGGACAGTAAAACATAATTACTTTTTTGGGCTGAACCCGGGATTTGAACCGGGGGTCCACTAGACCAAGGAGGTAGTCAAACTCCTGAGCAACTACGGTATCGTTTAGTGCAACATAAGTCAATAGTTGTCGGATTTGTTCGTATTGGGAAATCCGTATCACTAATATCTCCTGAATTTTCCCCTCCCGAAACCTACTTTGTCCTATTCTACAAAGCGTAACATAGTACATAAATAACATTTTTATAGGATAAGGGTGACAAACCGGCACACAGTCCACAAGATGGTAAGTATTTGCTGTGGCTCATAGATATCTACCTCTATCCTCAAATACGTATCAAAATGCAGATGCATTTTTACCCGTGAGGACTAAGCTGAAATGCCTCGTTTCCAGTTAAAGGTTTCTCCGGTTCTTTACACTCACCATAGCAAACACAGCGGCATTAAGCTGCTATTTTACGCTGGTGTTATGTGAGACCATGATCCTTCCCCGGTCGAGCCGACCAATTCGTGCTACAACTATAATCTAGCTGCAGCCTGGCTCTACCACGTGTAAAATAACAAACATGCTATCAATCTATGTGATGGTAGTAACTTATTTCAACAAATCAAGTGACATGTAACGAGTACGTTGTCACCCCTGATAACTAAGTTGCATAGCCACATAGCAAATAATCGTACAACCTATTTAATCTGAAAATTTTAACATATTTGTAGGTGAACTACTGCATTGTGGATGAAATAGGTACGTAAACGGTATTTAATTCTTGGCAAAAGAAAGAACTAACACTTTGTAAATAAAATTTAAATATTAGAAATACCTTAGTTCTTACATAAACTGAAGTGTTATAAAACTTAAAATATCACACAAAAAAAAAAACGTTTTATTATTTTATTTTTATAATTATTGGATAACATAAAAACCGTCTAATTTAATTACACATAACTTATTGATTAAAAATTTGACAAGCAGCTGTCAAAAAAGCCCCGTAACAAAGCTAAGCTGCCAAGCGAAATTTTGCACATCCGCGTGGTTTTTGTGGTACCATTCCCAGCGATAATTTCTATATGACACGGATACCCCAATAAAGTAACTTGGCCCAACAATGGTATGCAAAGATGAAAAAAATACGTAGGACGATCGATGTGTGCGTGTAACACGTGTGTATTACGCTCACGGTGCGTTTGTATTAACGTTCCTGCACAAGAGATGAGTTGATGTTGCAAATGTATAAAAGCGAAGCGTCGATTTCGAAATCAACATAACGATTTGAAATTCTAAGGAGTGCACACATAAAGAGAACGACCGTGAATAGGTTTCCGCATAGTGATCGCAAATATCATAAAAGTGAACAAGTGTATCCCTGCTCAATTGTTTTTGAAGTGATATCATTTTTCCTTTCAAAAAAAGTGCAATAAGGATGCTTTCCATCAAGGTATTTTTTATTTTAATTGTTTTCATATGGATTAGTATTTCAGAAAAATTCAATAGAATCTAATTATTCATTTTTTTTCATTTATATCATTTTTGTACAATTTAATATAAATATTTAATGTTTATTTAACAGTATATGATTGCGATCTGCGTGGTAGTAGTTGCCGGCACACCCGAAGAAGACGGCAAATGGCATCCCTATAAATATGGAGATGATGGCAAGTAAGTAAATGTCAGTTCGAGTAATCTAAGCATTTACATATTGCCAGGTGCATAGTTCACTATGCTTCAGGAATATCTTTGGTTGCATAATTTGAATAAAACAGAATATAGAAACATTATACTTTACAGCCACAACCAAAAAATTTCAAATGACATGTGCACCTTAATTTTCTTGATTTCTAATTTGTTTATTATAATCTTAATTTCTAGGTATATACCTACAAACGAAGGTAAATACATCCACATACCGAATCCTTACATCCATATCGATAACCCTTACAACGGAGGCTACGGGCCCTATACACATGATTATGAGCCTTACGTGAGTGCAGCCACAGAAGATCGTTACAGATTAGTAATGACCCCACCCAAAGATATACCATACTACAAAGAGGGATATTACAGGAACAACGGCATCAAAATCATCAGTCAAAATCATGTGTACAATGAGGACAAATACGATTTCAAGTAAGAATACATTTTTATTAAATTTTATATATATCATTGCTGAGAATTCTAGGAATGCTGTTAGTTCCTTACGCTCTAGAATCACACGTTAATGTTAAAGTAAAAATTGGAATTAACATATTGAATATGCAATAAGCGTTATTTATTAGGTTATTATCAAAACTGAGCTCGGCCTTGCCAAGATTCTGAATGCCGAACTTATCAAAAACATTTGCATACGTTCAAGCCTGGTGATAATGACCGTTAAATAGATTATTATTAAATAACATAAACTAAACTATAAATTATTGAAGATTTTTTCCCGTCTAGTTCCCGCCAATAGTGACATTAAGGCTATTGTAACACTACGACCTTGACAGATAAATACTTTAATACTCGCTTTGTTGGGTTAGAGTTCAAAACTATTCATAATACTTTCCGAATAATAAATTGAAACGAAAACATCACTCAAGCAGAACTAATGCATGTCATACTTTGAATTAATTCAATATGATTCAGCCTTTGTTCAGCGAAATGTCAATACTAATGTTTTAAATACCAAAAGTTCTAAATATGGCAATATCGAATTAAGTTAGAAGTTTGAAAAAAAAAACAATTTATTTTATTTTATTTTGCAGCTTTGAAACAGAGAACAAAATTCGTGCCAAGGAAAACGCCATTCTCAAGCACCCGAACTCCATCGATGGGGGTACTGCTTCAAGCGGATTCTACGAGTACCTTGGCCCGGACGGTTTCATGTACCGAGTCGATTACACCGCCGACGAGAACGGCTTCCGCCCTAAAGTTAAGCGGATAGAGACGCCATATTCTGGAAAATGGGTGCTAGAAAAGGTCAACTAGAAAAATATTTCAGCCAGACATCAAAATTTCGGCACTTCCTACTACTTTCCTCGTAAAGAATCAGTATTTTGAAATAAGTAGATAATGTGATGGTATATTTAAGCTAATGTTACGAGCCTATGTAATTTTATAGCTTAATGACCAATCATTTTTGAGTGTATCATGGCGTTAGAAATATGTCAAAGGATATTTCGATTAAGCTTCAACGATGTTAAATATGAAACATTTACATGTACTTTTTATTAAGAAGACTTATATTTTATTTGTGTATAAGTAACACATCATGGCCTAACAAATATACTATGAGTACAAAAATCATAAAAATTTGACACAGATGTTCCTCTTTTTAAGGAATTGTAATGTTTAGAATATTTAATTTATATTTAGATTAGAGAAATTAGATATTAGCTTAGAACAATGAGTTAGACATTTATTTATGAATTGTGATAATAAATTTATATTTCATTATGAACTTGATGTCTTCTTTATTTTTAATCCACGCTTTAGACATGAAGTTGTAGCTTTTTAACTAATGCCATTGGGGTGGCAGTCTGCTGGTACGCCACACAGCAGCGCCCCCATTGCTTTTCAACCGACTTCAAAAAAGGGGGACGTTCTAATTCTTTTTTTATTTGATAGCTGGTACTTCTAATGTGATCCCATATAAATTTGATCAAGATCTGATCAGTAGTTTTTGAGTTATTCTTAACAATAAGTATTTAGTTGACTTCAACTACATTAAATGATGTTCACATTCTATTTATACCGAAATCGGTTTTACAAAATTTTTAAATATACCTCTTGTTGGCTGGTAGGTTAGAATTTTTTTTAGAATAGAAAATAAAGGTTTTTTAATGTATTTTCCTTTGTGGGTCTACAGGAAGATATTTCAGCAAATTATGGAATAAGTATAACCTGTGTACGAACTTACTATATGACTGTTTCTATATCTTGTTGTGTGTACATAAATAAATTAAAAATAGATTCATGATATATCTATAATACGACTGAGGGATCACATGTACATGTTCGTATATTAAATAATTTATATCATACATAAGAAAATTATACGTGGTAGGACTACGCTGCAGCTAAATTATGGTTGTAGTACGAATGGGTCGCCTCGACCGGGGAAAGACCGCGCTGTCACAGAATACCAGCGTAAAATAGCAGCTGTGTTTCGAATGGTGAGTGTAGAGGTACAGAGACCCTTTTTACTGGAAATGAGGAATTCCATCTTAGTCTTCAAGGATGACAAAACCTCTGAATTTTGATTCCCAATCGAGGATAAATGTAGATGTCTATGGGCCACAGCATCCACTCACCATTAGATGGACTGTGTGCTCGTTTGTTACCCGTATTCTATAAAAAAATTAACATTTATTTAATATTAATAAAATAATTTCTAGTTATCAGATTCCATTTTTGGTTGCACTATGTCACTTAGCACTTGGTTATTTTATGCCCTTTTGAGTGGATTGAGCAGTACCAATAACCCAAGAATGTCGTCTAAATCAATAAACTTCATTCACCTATTTTTCCACCCTTTTCCTCTCTTTGTAGAAAGATACAAAGCCGTAGTCTTAGTATCGATCTGCTCAGTGTCTTTCCACAGAGTACGAATCTAGATGAAGCCAACATTTTGGACCTTGCGTAAAATCAAAAATATAATAAATGGTCTAGGTGGGCCAGAAGAACATAAGAAATAATATATTAAATTGATCGCATTGCGCAACGAAATTGGAGCATAAGCCTGAATTAAATAAAAATGAGACGTAAATAACTTTAAAACATCTTAATTTCAATTTACAAGTATGAAAGTTTACAAAATAGCTTAAATTGGTTATTCATCGAAGTACATTATTATAATTACAAATAAATACAATTCAGAAAATTTTAAGTTTTAATTTTCAAATATCTTCACTATTCACTACAAATTAATGTACACGCAATATATATTTTAACTTATTCTGTTATAGTCCTATTTATGACTTTTTATTATTTAATTTATCCCGTGTACTCGTACTAGTGGAGTAATAATATCCACTACCCCATATCGTCCCGTGGGTGTCGTAAGAGGCGATAGAGGAAAACTGAAACACGAGATGAGCAGCATCATCTTCCTGATAACAACGCAAAATAATAAAAAAAACCTGCCGTTGCCTACTCGTCTGTCGAGCGTGGCAACTGCGGTAAAAGCCTCAGGTGAGGCAATTTATGGGGGAGGCCTGTGTTCAGTAGTGGACTGTTATAGGCTGTGATGGATGGATGATTATTTAATTTAATTTTTCCATTATTAATATTTTCACTAAATATACGAATATATAAAATAGTAGTAGTCAAACTACTAAATAATTGAAATTAACTTACTTACTAAATAAATTTATTAATGTTATTTTGTGGGCCTCAATACTTTTTGAAAAGCTTAATATAATATAAGATTAATTGGTTTTCATAAAAAATATGTAGACGTTAAACGTTCTATAATTAAACATATATAGTAAATTACGTATGGAATATCGTCCAAATAAACGACTACCTTTACAAACAGAGAGCAACGAAGGATCGTAAAGTCGTACTGTTAGGGCATTGGCAAGAATTTTGGCAAAATTGTTTTGGCTCAAGATTGTGAAGGTTTTTATGGAGGCATAGGACATTGACCGAAAGCTCTGCCAAGAAGCCGGCGCCACTCCGGTCGACGCAGCGCGATCCCAGTCCGCTGCTGCACTGCGCATTGCCTTATCTGTTGCTTACTCCTTCAACGAAATAACTTCTGAGCGTAATGATATGTTCAGCTGCCAAATAGGTCCTGTCCGTTAATATCCCGCTACATTTCAATTGATACTTTATTCGTTGTACCGTTGACAAAAAACGATAATATACAGTAAGTAAATTAGGGAGGAGCAAGGGATATTTTAGAAGCAAGAGTACATCGAATCGACTTGAATTTAGGGACATTAATTTATCGACGATTTACACATTTTTAATTTTAATTGAAATTTGTGACGTGAATGCTATCCGTATGCAAATAAGTTTCTTTTGATTATCGTATCGCCTGTAGCAATATTTTGCGGCTACTTTGTTACACGTTGTTTTTATTTCATAAATTTTATTGATAAATAATTGAATAACTCTCAAAGAAGCTCCCTGAGAATTATTTCTTTGCTTTGCCTTACAATTTTATTTTGTTTTTATTGATCATACGTCTCTGTAATTGGTTTAAAGAAACGTTTTTATAGAGAAGTAAGGGTGATGAACTAGCAAACAGTTCTTTGATAGTAAGTATATACTTTGGCCCATAGACACTAAATGCAATTTCATAGTCGCCGTGGTGTGACAGTGTAAGTGAATCAACTACCCTATATAATCCTGAGGAAGTAGTGAACGGTGGCAGTGGAAGACTGAAACAGGGTATGGCAGCATTTTAAAGTAAAAAACTGAACGAAACGTTGCAGCTATAGCAAAATTCCCCTAGGGGGCAATTTTGTGGGACAGGCTTATATTTAGCAGTAGACCTTATATAGGCTGTAATGAATGAATGAATAGGTTTAAACTCGGTTTGGTCAAATTTTTAAGGTTGGAGCTTATCCTTTGAATTACCTCGGTACCGAGCGGATACCTTGATTGTCTAGGTATAATGGCTCAACATTCTGGTGAATATAAATTAAATTAAATATTTACATTTACACACGTCTAAAAGTTCACGTACCTACACTAAGTGTTAGGCAATGAAGTGTAACGACTTTCAGCGTATTTTTGTGGAAATGAATAAGATATTTTAGTTAGTTGGAAATTCTGTACACGAAATCTCACCTTGTTGTCGGTGTAAATAATTTTGATAATTGCAAATAATTTACCGTTTAACATTTAGATGAGACATTTGTATTCGTTAACGATACCTACATATTTCCTAGCAGAAACAGAAACAGAAACTTTTTTATTCAATGTAGATTATAAGCAATACTTATTGAAAGTCAATTTTTTTCATTTACCACTGGTTCGCAAAAAAAACCTCTGTCCTGGGAAGAACCAGCAAGAAACCCAGCGGGACTATTTTTTTTTCAAATAATAGCTTACAATCATGTTACTAAATACGTGGTAGAGCCATGCTGCAGTTATATTAGTAGTATAGTTGTAGCACGAATGGGTCGGCTCGACCGGGGAAGGACCACGCTTTCACAGAATACCAGCGTGAAATAGTAGCTTAATGCTGCTGTATTTCGTATGGTGACTGTAGAGAACCGGAGACCCTTTTTTACTGGAAACGAGGCATTCCATCTCAGTCCTCACGGGTGACAGCGCATCTGAATTTTGATTTTTAATGGAGGATAGATGTAGATGTCTATGGGCCGCAGCAACCACTTACCATCAGGTGGACTGTGTGCTCGTCTGTCACCCTATTCTATAAAAAAAATGTTTACATTTAACAACACAACACAAATTAGAAATAGCTTGGTAGCGATCACCCTTCCCAGGGGTTACTATCATCCATAAATTCCTTAATATTATAATAACCCTTTTTATACAAACTTAGTTTAATAAAAATTTTAAACTTTGCGTATGACAAATTTTGTATATTTTCTGGGATTTTGTTGTAAAAGCGTATACATCGCCCCAAGAATGAATTACTGACTCGGTGGAGTCGAGTAACTGGTACTACTAGCTTGTCTTGCTTGTCTTGTATGAATATCACTCATTTTTGCAAAACTACGTTTATTCTTGTGTACGTACATTACATTTTCATAAATATATTGAGAGGCCAGAGTTAATATATTAATTTCCTTAAATTTTTGTCTCAGTGACTCTTTTGGTTTTAAATTATATATTGCTCTAATGGCTCTCTTCTGTAAAATAAATATAATTTCAGTGTCAGTCGCGTGTCCCCATAGCAAAATACCATACGACATAATGCTATGGAAATAACTAAAATAAACTATTCTTGCTGTTTCAACACTGGTAGCAGCTGTTATTATATGAGATAATATGTTTTTAACTTCCCG